TAGTCTTCTGTACAGATTGCAAATGTAGGAGGGTGCAACAAAGATGCTATAGTGCTGTATTTGATGGGAAAGGTAATTACGATGTGACAAGTTTCCATAGAAATTCATTATGACAAAACTTGACACAGAAGTGTGACTTGAAAAAAAAAAGGTGACACAAAGACTTAAGGTTTGGCAGAGAGAAAACCTGCAAGTGCATAAGATTGATTTCTATTTATAATGGATAATGGATACTGCAATTCAGAAGAATGACATTTTATCTAAATTGAAACACAAAATTTTGAAGGGACTGACAGGGCAAACGCTGAATGATTGTTGCCCTGAGTTGGAGAATCTAGAATACAGGGGCACAGTCTCAGGATAAAGGGTGGATCATTTAGGACTAAGATGTAGAGAAATGTCTTCACTTGGAGAATTGTGAAAATTTGCATTCTGTACCCAGCGGGCTGGCGAGGCTGTATCATTTGAACGTAGGCTAGGCCAGGCTGGGAATGAAGAGATTTGTGAAACAGGCAAGAAAGTGAAGTTGTGTCAGAAAGTCAGCAATGATCATATTGAACGGCAGGACAGTCTTGATGGGCCGAATGGCTTACTTCCTCTCTGATTTCTGTTGTTCTTATGCTGTGCAGAAATTTATATTTGATAAGATGCAAAACAGGACTGTTTATCTTCAGAAAAGAATTAGAATTGAATACAGTTAAAAATACACACAGTACACAAATGCAAACAAGACTAAAGATATCCACTGAGACTCTAATGTATCAGTGGCTTGCCTGATGACTCATTTGGCAATGTGGCAAACTGAACAAAGCCATGAGAAAGATCCTAGGCTCAAGTGAGCAGAATGAAAATATTGTTGGAAGTATATCAGCTGAGATCTTGGTCAAAATCCCTGCAACTTCCGAACAAACAATAGTATGCAAACACATTCACACTATGGATTTCTGAAGTTCAAGAAGCCTGCTCAATATAATTAAGGATGGGCAATAAATGCCCACATTGGCAGCGATGCCCACATCGCAGAATTCCAACACTGTTACAGCACAGTAGGAGCCATTCGGCCCATCATGTCTGCCCTTTCAAATGAGCATCATTACCTATTGCCAATCTCTTGCTTTTCCTCCATATCCTTGCACATCATTTTTATCCAAAGAAGCATCCAATACATCCTTGAATGCCTCAACTGAACCTGCATCCACCCCACTTCCAGGCTGTGCATTCCATACCCTAACTATTCACTGTATGAACCATGAATGAATGAGTTAAGAAGAGAATTGATTGTTAATCGTTGGAAAACACGTGACTTACTGGTGGTGTTTAATGGATGGAAAAATGCCACAGGTGATTTGTTGATGGGAAAATAAAATCAGCTGATTGTAAGAACACTTGCAGATGTGAAGAAAGAGAATTGATAAGGTGTAAGGCTTCTGTTGATTTTTACAGGAATGCCTGGAGTTGGTACGGTATCATGAGGCATCATCTCTTTGAGAGTTTTTCTTTTATTTGTTCAAGGGATGTGGGCATCACTGTATGGGCCAGCATTTCTTGCCCATCCCTAATTGCCCCACTGAAGGTGATGGTGAATGACCATTGTGGTCCTTGAAATGTAGCAACACGCACAGTTCTGTTAGGGTGGGAGTTCCAGGATTTTGACTCTGCAACAGGGAAGAAACGGCCAGTCTAGTTCCCAAGTCAGGATGTTGTGTGTCTTGAAAGTGAACTAGTAGGTATCAGAGTTCTCATGTGTCTGCTGCCCTTGTCCTAGGTGATGGAGATTTTTGGTTTGCAAGGAGCTGTCAAAGGAGGGTTGCTGAGTTCCTGCATCGCATCTTGTTGACATCGCTAGAGGCAATCGAGCAGAGAATGACTGAGTCTACAAATTTGTGAGTGGCGTACGTAGGGTCAGTAAGAATTAAATTTTTTTCCCTTAGTAGAGAAGTTAGTTACCAGGCAGATTACATTTCAGGTGGGGAGCAGGAGATTTAGAGGGGATTTAAGGAGAAATCCTTTTACCAGAGGGTGGTGGGTATCTAGAATTCACTGCCCGACTCTGGGTGGTAAAGGTGAGAACTATTACAACATTTAAGAATTATTTAGATGAACACTTAATACACTATAGCAGGCAAGGCTATGGGGGCCAAGTGCTGGGAAATGGAATTAGAATTGTGGATCAATGATGGGCTGATGATCCTGTCTCTGTGCGGTAAACACTATGAGTCTATGCAACAATGGTACAGTGCTGGGGTTTGAAATTATATTCATTGATAATATTCAAGGAGAGGATAGAAAAACTCAGGTTGTTTTCCTGGAAAGCAGCAGAGGCTGAGGGGAGACTTGATAGAAGTCTATAAAATTAGGAGAAGCATAGACAGGGTTGATGGTCAGAATCTTTTACCCAGACTTGAAATTTCCAATACTAAGGGGCATGCATTTAAGCTGAGAGGGGGAAAGTTCAAAGGAGATGTGAGGGGCAAGATTTTTACAAAGCGATTAGTAGGAGTCTGGAATGCACTGCCAGGGGTGGTGGTGGAGGCAGACATGATGGGGGCATTTAAAGGACTTTTAGGTAAGCACACAAATATGCAAGGAATGGAGGGATTTGGACCAAGGGCAGACAGAAGGCATGAGTTTAATTTGGTGTCACGTTCGCCACAACATTGTGGGCTGTAGGGCATGTTCCTGTGCTGTACAGTTCTATGTTCTATGTAATTATTTTGTTTTCACTATCATAGTTCTCTAAATAGGGGCTCAATTCTACAGCTAATGGATACTATTAAAGTTGCCAGTGCCTTTCAGACATCTGACAATGTGTACAAACTGCATCTGTGGACAAGATGCCCATCACCTCCACTCTACCTCACATTCAGGCCTTAGCAAACCAACCCACAAAACCCGGGCAGCTTGATCAGAATCAGCCTTGTATTTTTGCTTTACTATTTGAAGTAGGCCTGGAGATTTGGAAAATAACCGAGTTGTTCCTTTGGTAAATACTTTCCAGATCATAAAGCCAAGGTCGGTTGGCGACAGCAACTTGAGATGTAAACAGATTAATGAGATCTTTGAGTTAAATGTTGTATATGGCCCAAGGTTTCAAAGGAGCTTCAAAACTTGGACATCATTTTTGAGACCATATGCCTCTATCTAACAGTTCTTTTAATCACAGTAAGTAGAAGTAGGCAAGTTATGCTAAGTCTTTATAAAGTAATGGCTTGGTCCCAACTTGAATAGAGTATTGCATCTCAAGTCTGGGCAACACACTTTAGGAAGAATGTTAAGGAAATGGAGGGTGCAGAAGAGATTTATCAAAATTAGTGGCATTGTAGACAGTGAAGAAGGATTCCTAAGATTACAAAGGGATCTTGAGCAAATGGGTCAATGGGCTGAAAAATGGCAGATGGAGTTCAATTTGGATAAATGCAAGGTATTGCATTTTGGTACAACAAATAGGGTAGAATTTATACAATTAATAGTAGATCCTTGGGTATTGTTGTAGAGCAGAAGGACCAGGATTCAGGTACATAATTCTTTGAATTTTGTGTTACATATAGACAGGGTGGTTAAAAAGGCATTTAGCACGATTGCCTTCATTCCTCAGTCCATTGAATATAGGAATTGGGAAGTCAATTGTTGAGATTGTAGAGGGCATTGGTGAGGCCTCTTCTGCTGTACTGTGTTTGGTTCTGGTTACCCAGTTAAAGGACAGATATTATTAAGCTGGAGAGCATTCAGAAGAGACTTACCAGGGTATTGCTGGTATGGAATGTTTGAGTTATAAAGAAAGACTGGATAGGCTGGGACTTCTTTCACTGGAACGTAAGAGATTGAAAGGTGACCTGATAGAAGTTTACACAATCATGAGGGGTGCAGGTAGGGTTAATGGTGGGTGTTCTTTCCCTAGGATGGGGGATTTCAAGACTAAGAGGTACATTTTTAAGGTGAGAGGAGGAAGATTTAAAAAAGACATGGGGGCAATTTTTTCATACAGAGAGTGGTTCATGTGTGGAATGAACCTCTTGAGGAAGTGATGGATGTGGGTACAGTTACACATTTAAAAGACATTTGGATAAGTACTTGAATAGGAAAGGTTTGGGGGGATATGGGTCTGGAGCTGGGACTAGTTTAGTTTGGGATTATGGTTGGCACAGACTGGTTGGACCAAAGAATCTGTTTGCGTGCTGTATGACTCTATGTCATGAATCAAGGGTTTGAGTTTGAATTCAAACAGAGCATTAGATAAACTGTGATTGTTTTTCTGCAAGTAAGTAAGGTAAGCGAAACAATTAAAGGGAACTGTTTAAAATTAGTGCAAATAAGGAGAAACTGTTTCTGCTGATGAAAGGGCCATTAAACAAAAGGCACAGACTCGAGATAATTGACAAAGAATCAGTAAGGAAATGTCAGATATTTTCTTATTGAGTGAGTTATGGTCTGGACACAGAATCTTGGAAGGGTGGAGGAATCAGATCAGACAGTAATTTCCAAAGGAGAATTGAATAAACATTTGAATGGAAAAGAATATTGCAGAGCCACTGGTAAAGGCTAAAGCTATAGAGCCAATTGGTTAGCTCTTTCAAAGAGCCTGCAGGGATGTGTTGGATCAAATAGCCTCCTACTACCCTGTGAACACCCTCTTTCAGACAAGATGTTGGTCCTCAAGCATCAGCCAGATATCTCTGGAGGAGATGGTGAGAATGACAATGAGCCAGTAATCCTGGGGATGTGGGTTCAAATCCCACCGCAGCAACTGATTGAATTTAGTTTCAGTCCAATAATAAATCTGCAATTCAAAGCTAACCTTGATAAAAGTAATAATGAAATTAACATCAATTTTGCAAAAATTTTTCTGGGTTCACTAATGTCCTTGAGGAAAGGAAATCGGCCATTCTTACTCGGTCTCTCCTACATGTAGCTCTGTTGCTCTCAAAGGTGGTTAGTGATGGACAGTGGATGCAAATCATAATGCCCACAGCCAATAAAGCATAAAAGAGTTTATGATTAAAGCAATGTTTCTGTTGAGAATAGACTCTGATACGCCAGAAGAAAGTGGAGAAGTTAAGAACGACTATATTATAAAGATGAATTATAATCTACCAGACTGAGAAAGAAAGTCGCTGCTTTATTAACTGGGCTAAGAATTTCTCCAGTTGCTTGAAGGTCTCCTGTTTGATCCAAGTGATGGGTGAATGGGACTTGGTGCAGGTCAGGATATAGGCAGTGGCGTTTTGGATGAGCTCCAGTTTATAAAGGCTGGAAGATACAAGGCCAGCCAAGAGTAAACTGCAGTTTTCAAATCTGGAGGAAAGAAAAGCAAGGATTAGGATCTCAGCAGCGCATGAACAGGGATGGTGGTAGAGTTGGGTCATGTGGAGATGGAGGCAGACTATGTGGGTCCAAGTACATGTTCACTGGTCAACCAAAGTAACATTCCAATCTTTGTCCAAGAAATCTCAGGGAAGATAGCAAGACATAAGGACACCATTTTCACTCGGATAATTTCTCATGTTGCAGTGTAAATTAAGTAGAATATGTATAACCCATATAGCGTGATCACTGTTTAACTGTTGGGCAATGCCTCAGCTGTTCTCCTGCCAATGTACACATCAGATTGCTGACAAGGACAGTCTGTTTTTGAGTTTTGCAGGCAAGTCCAGGAACTGGTAAGGCACTGACAAAAAGTTAATTCCAGCTGCAAATGTTTCATCCTACCAGACTCAAAATGTTCATTCTGTTTCTCTCTCCACAGATACTGCCAGACCTGCTGAGCTTCTCCAGCACATTCTGTTTTTGTTGCAAATGTTTCATCACTGGTAAAATAAGTGAGTTTTATAACCGAGGTGGAGCAGCAGAGGTGTTTCAAGAAAAATACAAAGACTATAAGAAATAGGAACATGAGTAAGCTGTTTGAGGCTGGAGCCTGCTCCACTAATCAATAGGATCCTGGCTGATCCAACGCCAGTCCTCACATCCACTTTCTTGCCATAATCTTCAATTTCCCTACTGATCAAAAATCTATCTAGCTATTTCAGCCTCAGATATAAACAAAGACTCTGCCCCCACAGCTCTCTGTGGCAAGGAGTTCCAAAGACTCACAATCCTCTGACAGAAGAAAATCCTCCATAAATTGTCACCCCTTATTCTGAGACTATGATGCCTGGTTCTAGAGTCTCCCATGAGGAGAAACATACTTTCAGCATTTACCCTGTCAAACCCCTTAAGAATCAGATATGGCATGAAAATGGAGGCCCTTGTTACCAAGAATCTGGGCGAGAGGGCACACAGGTCAATGATCATCTCAAACAGTTTGTTCATTCACTCCAGGAGAGATTCCCTGCTGCAGTTCACAAGGGTCACCCACTTCAACACTTCTCACCTAAAACATGCCCTCCTCGGGGAGTCTAAACAGGTCTGGAATCCACATCTTGCTTTTTGATGCCAGATCTGACCGACAGGATCTCCCTGATGTTGATTGCTCTACGTGCCGTCACTGTGTAGTACAGGCTGGTGTTCCTCTGGTTGTTTCGTTTTTGTCTCCATTTCCTGTAAGTGCAAGAAACTGTGAATAATTCATGTATCCAACACTTGTCTTCAGCACTTGCTGTGAAACTGTGCAATTCTGCAAAGAGTAATCTGTAATATTTTGGGGTGGTATGTGTGGGGACTTGTTTCAAATTATCCAAAACTCTGGTGTCCAGATCCTCACTCACACCAAGCCCTGACCAGCTATTTCCCCTGTGTTCATTAGCTCCCAGTCTGGAAGCATCTCAGTTTTATAATTCCCACCTCTGCTTTGAAGTGCCTCTGTGACTTCACACCTATCTATCTCTGTAATCTCCTCCAGACCTACAATCCTCTGTGTTCCTCCATTTCTGGTCTCTTAAGCAAGCCAGCATTTCAGTCATTCCAACTGTTGATGATTGTGCCTTGAGCTGCCCTGAGCTCTGAACTCTGAAATTGCCCTCCTAAACGTATCCAGCTCTCAATCGTATTTCCTGTTCCGCCTTTAAGATGTTCCCCGTTGTAAGGCATCTGGATGGGTACATGAATAGGAATAGTTTAGAGGGATATGGGCCAAATGCTGGTGAATGGGATTAGATTTATTTAGGATATCTGGTCAGCAAAGACGAGTTGGACCAAAGGGTCTGTTTCTGCACTGTACAGCTCTGTGACTCTATAAACATTATCGTCGATACACTTTTGCTTGGCTGCCCTATTGTAACTCAATGTCAAAATTCCCTTGATAATGTTTCTGTGAAGCTCCTTGGGACCTGTAGCTCTGTTACAGGTGCTATTTAATCCAATGTTTCTCCACCATGGTGAAACATCCCGGTGACACTCTGTGATGCCTGGATATACCACTAGAGCCTCAGTCAGAGGGTTGTGTGTTCAATTCCCACACTGTGGACTTCAGCACAAAATCCAGGCCGACAATTACAGTGCTTGGGGATTTGTTGGCATTGTGGTCTAGTACCCCATTGCCCTGGGGACGTGAATTCAAGTCATAAGAACATAAGAACTAGGAGCAGGAGTAGGCCGTCTGGCCCTTCGAGCCTGCTCCGCCATTCAATAAGATCATGGCTGATCCTTTCGTGGACTCAGATCCACTTACCCGCGTTCTCACCGTATCCCTTAATTCCTTTATTGTTCAAAAAAAATCTACCTTTTTTTTAAAAACATTTACTGAAGTAGCGTCAACTACTTCACTGGGCAAGGAATTCCATAGATTAACAACCCTCTGGGTGAAGAAATTCCTTCTCAGTTCAGTCCTAAATCTGCTCCCTCTAATCTTGAGGCTATGCCCTCTTGTCCTAGCTTCACCTGCCAGTGGAAACATCCTCTCTACTTCTATCTTATCTATTCCCTTCATAATTTTATATGTTTCTATAAGATCCCCCCTCAATCTTCTGAATTCCAATGAATATAATCCCAATCTACTCAGTCTCTCCTCATAAGCCAACCCCCTCAACTCCGGAATCAACCTAGTGAACCTCCTTTGCACCCCCTCCAGTGCCAGTACATTCTTTCTCAAGTAAGGAGACCAAAACTGCACACAGTACTCCAGGTGTGGCCTCACCAGCACCTTGTACAGCTGCAACATAACCTCTCTGCTTCTTATTTCAATCCCTTTAGCAATGAAGGACAAAATTCCATTTGCCTTCCTAATTACTTGTACCTGCAGACCTACCTTCTGTGATTCATGCACAAGGACACCCAGGTCCCTCTGCATAGCAGCATGCTGCAACTTTTTACCATTCAAGTAATAATCCTTTTTACTATTACTCCTACCAAAATGTATGACTTCACATTTATTTACATTGTATTCCATCTGCCAGACCTTTGCCCACTCACTCAATGTATCTACGTTCCTCTGCAAAGTTTCACAGTCCTCTGCACACTTTGCTTTGCCACTCATCTTAGTGTCATCTGCAAACTTTGACACCCTACACATGGTCCCCAGCTCCAAGTCATCTATATAAATTGTAAATAATTGCGGTCCCAACACCGATCCCTGAGGCACACCACTAGTCACTGACTGCCAGCTAGAATAGCACTCACTTATCCCCACTCTTTGCTTCGCAAAGTCCAACCATGACATCTGATGGCTTTTGAATTCAGTCAATAAAATCTGTAATCATAAAACCAAGTTCAGTCATGGTGACTACAAAACCATTGCCGGGTGTCATTTGTTCCAGTAATGTCCCTTAAAGAAGGAAATCTGCTGTCTTTATTTGGCCTGGCCTACATGTAACTCCAGACCATTGTGGCTGACTCTGCTGTCTTTATTTGGCCTGGTCTACATGTAACTCCAGACCATTGTGGCTGACTCTGCTGAAACGGCAATTACAAGCCACTCAGTTCAAGAGCAATTAGCAATGGTCAACAAATGTGATACCCACATCTCATGGAAGGATAAAATAAAACTATTGGAATTGCCCCCTTTCAGATGAAACATTAAATCAAGGCCCTATCTGCCCTGGCAAATGGATGTGAAGGATCACATGGCTAATTCGGAGACCATCAGTAGAGTTCTCCCAGTGCCCTGACTGACGGGAATCCCTCATCCAACACAATAAGATGGATTATGTAGAGCTGTATTTAACTGTTGCTTGTGGAAGTTTGCTGTGCACGTATTTACTGTGTAGAGATTGGAATGACGTCAGCTAGGTGAATATCATTGAATCGGAGTTCTCTGCTTGGGGCTGTTAACCTGGTCCAATCAGGGAGCACTAACTGACAGATATAAATGGGAGTGTCAGGGATTCTGTTCACTCTAGGAGCTGGCTCAGTGCTAGCTGGGTCAGTGTCATGTGCTATGCACGTGTAAACAAAGGCTGACTGATGACGGGGTACTGGCCTTTGTGGAGTTATTTCATACTGCATTTCCCACGGTTCAAAAGGTTCCTAATTGGCTGTAAAGCACTTTGGGATATCCTGAAGTTGCGAAAGAGGGTAAATAAATGCAAGGTCTTTTCTGTCCGGTCTAACACACGCGACAATGTCTTGCTGAACAATGGGATATGCTGCTGATTTTTTTCTCTTCATCGCTCATCAGGACACAACATAAGAATCCCAAATTTCAAAAGGAGCAACAATTTACATGGCATGAGAACAGAGTGTTGATTGGTTGGCATTTCGACTCTAATTGGTTGCAAGGCTACCATGGATTATGCAATGGAGAACTATTGTTCCCCCAAGCCTTTGTTTAATCCAACAACAAAAAAATTAAAATATTCAAATCCTGTACTACCATACATCAATGAACAGAAACATTGGTGTTACGGAGAAGTGTCTGAGAACGAACACATATTCTCAGTTTCAGACAAGGTGAAAGAGGCTGAAGATTCATAGAGGGTTCAATGCAGGTCATGTGCTGTGTCTTAGGATGTATGATGAAAACACGTCAATAGAATATTTACCAGCAAAGGCAAACTAAGACCTCTTGCTTCTGTCCTGCTCCCTTCCTCCCTATCCAAGTCCAGCCATGCTCATCCATTTTATAGGCAGGTCATGTTGGCAGTTAACCCAGGAATACTAACCTGCAGTAGAAGTGTGCTACACCGAGTGCTATAGAGAATACAATAATCAAGGCCACCACAATAACAACGATCAATGACGGACTTATAGTCCTACGTGATTGACGGCTTGGTAGCAGGAACTCTTCACATCGGCTTCCTTGGAAACTGTTATCGCACCTAGGGAAGATATTACTCTGAATTAGCCCATACAACAGAACAAGAGGCTGAGTGTGGATCACTTTATGGTTACTGTAATTTTCATGTATCAGCTAACACCAGTTAATCATCTGTATACATTGTGTGAGTTGAGCTCAGAGCTGAAAGGTTCATGAAGAAACATGCGAACTGGACCTGTCACTTAGCCTCTCCCTCCTGTTGGGAACATAGGAGCAAGAGGAGGCCATTTGGCCCTTTGATCTGCTATGCAATTCAATATGATTATGGCTGCCTGATTTGGTCTCAACTCCATTTTCCTATTAACTCTAGACTGCTTTGTCCATCAAAAATCTATCTAACACAGCATGGAATAAATCCAATGACACCTACTCCATGGTTTCCATAGACAGTCTCTGCAAGAAAATATTTTTCACCATTCCCATCTTAAATGTGAGACCCTCTCATCTTAGAGTGTCCCCTTGTTCGAGTCTCTCCCACAAGAGGAAACAGTTTTCCAGTCTTGACCCCTGTCATGTCCCCTCAGGATCTCATACATTGCAATAAGATCTTCTCTCATTCTTGTCAACTCCAACCTCCAAAACATTTTTTCTTTAAGCAGCCCCTTCATCCTCAGAATTAATGAAGTGAACTGCATCTGAACAGCTTCCAGTGAAATTGTACCCTTTTACAAATAAAATCATACAAAAGAATGCATTTTGAGCATAGCGAACTGTTTCTTAACTCCACTTAACAACTCCGAATTCCAAGGTGAGATGGTAGTGTAGTGGTAGTGTTGCTGGTCCAATAATCTAAATGCTGTGGGGGACAAGGGTTCAAATCCCATCGTGGTAGCTGGTGGGTTTTGAATTCTGTAAACAAATGTTGAATATAAAGCTATGACCACATTGATATAAAAGCCTAACTGGTATCTGTAGTCAGTGAAACCTGCAGGTTTGGCCATTATGTGACTCCAGGTTACCAGTAATGTGGTTGACTCTTAACTGCCTTCTAGAAATGGCTGAGTAAGTCACTATATTAAGGCTGGATCTTGCCAGTAATGCCTATATCCCATCAAAGAATCGAGCAGCTAGAAAGAATCCATCAATCTCAGTTCTGAATTTTCAACTGACCCTCCAGTCCCAACAATATATGTATGACAAGACAAAGCTTAACTTGATGCCAACTCCTGATCTTTGACATTCCAAAACCTTTCTATCATCTCACAAGGCACAAGTCAGGAGTGTGAAGCAATACTCCCTACTTTACTGGGTGAGTGCAACTCCAGTAACACAAATGCACCTCAGCACCATTCAGATTAAAGCAGTCAGCTTGTTCAAGACCACATTTATAGTCACAGTTATAGATTCATAGAGTCATACAGCATGTAAATAGACCCTTCGGTCCAACCAGTCCATGCCAAACATAATCCCAAACTAAACTAGTCTCACCTGCCTGCATTTGGTCCATATCCCTCCAAACATTTTTTATTCACATGCTTATCTAAATGTCTTTTAAAAATTGTAATTGCACTCACATCCACCACTTCCTCTGGAAGTTCATCCAACAAATAAACCACTCTCTGTCCAAAAAAATTGCCCCCATGTCTTTTTTTTAATCTTTCTCCTCTCACCTTAAAAATATGCCACTACTCTTGAAATTCCCCAACCTGAAGAAAAAAAACACCTACCGTTCACCTTATCTATACCTCTCATGATTTAATAAACCTCTATAAGGTCACCCCTTAACCTCCTACACTCTTGTGAAAAAAGTCCCAGCCTATCCAGTCTCTCCTTATAAGTCAAACCCTCCATTCCCGGCAACATCCTCGTAAATCTCTTCTGAACCCTTTTCAGCTTAATAATATCCTTCCCATAGCAGGGCAACCAGAACTGAACATAGGGTATTCCAGAAGATACCTCACCAATGTCTTTACAAGCTCAACTTAATGTCCCAACTCTTAAACATTCACTCCCTGTGCCTCCAGCACACAGTGGCAGCAGTGTGTACCATCTACAAGTTGCACTTCAGCACCTCATCGAGCTTCTGTCAAAGCATGTTGCAAACTGATGACATCTATCTCCTAGAAGGACAAGGGCAGCAGAGGCACGGGAACACCATTGCTTGCAACGCCCACTTCAACCCACCTTCTATTCCAAGAATATGTCACTGTTCCTTCACTGTCACTGAGTCAAAGGCTGGGAACTCTTTTTTTCTAACAGCATTGTGGGTGTGTGTACACCATATGGTACAGCAGCAGTTCGAGAAAATAGCTCACCACCATTTTCTCAAGGGGAATTGTTGGGATGGGTACTAATTGCTGGCTTAGCTCATGGAACAGATAGAATGTTCTTATACAGGGCATTGGCGATGCCACACCTGGAATATTCTGTGCAGTTTTGGTCTCCTTATCTGAGGACGAATATTTTTGCTTCAGAAGGAGCGCAGCAAAGGTTTACCAGACTGATTTCTGGGATGGCAGGACTGACATACAAAGAGAGATTGAGTTGGTTAGATATATATTCACTAGAGTTTATAAGAATGAGGGTGGATCTCATAGAAACCTATAAAATTCCGACAAGACTAGGCAAGTTAGGTACAGGAAGGATTTCGCCATAGTGGGGAGAACCAGGGGGTCATAGTTTAAGGATAAGGGGGTAATCCTTTTAGGGCTGAGATGATGGGAAATTTCTTCACCCAGAGAGTGGTGAACCTGTGGAATTCACTTCCACAGAAAGCGGTTGAGGGCAAAACACTATGTGTTTTCAAGAAGGAGGTATCTGTAGCTCTTGTTCCTAAAGGGATCAAGGAACATGGAAGACAGTGGGATTAGGGTATTGATCCCAATGATCAGCCTTGATTGTAATGAATAATGGAGGAGGATCGAGGGGTCAAACAACCTACTCTTGCTCCAGTCTTCGATGTTTTTATGTGAGGCCATTCGAATTCAGTCCCTTACAATGAACAGGACAGGTTCTCATCACACAAGTCAGAGTTCAATTTGCATTTCCTACAGAGGGACCTCCTACTGCACCCTCAATCTGTATGGAGCACCATGTCCACTCTATGTAATGTAATGATTTTGTTGGGGTCTCGTTCTGATTGATTACAGACTGAGGGCTACATTTGACTTACCAGCAGAATGGATAGGACGTTCTTAGAATGTAACAGGTGCCTCCATTAAGACAGTAGGAACTGTAGGTGTTTGGACAGAGCTGACCATGTGCTAACAGAAAAGATAAGAGTCATAGGTAAGGATTAACATGGCAAAATTGTCTTTAAAAAAACCACAGAGTGAGCAAAATGTTTATCTTATATTGCTGTTGTACTTGCTATTCCATTACAGCTCAAGTACAGAATGATTGAGCTGTCCTAAAATTGCTTCTGTACATATTGCATGTTTAATACAAATTCCAAGAAACTATGCCAACTCTCGGTATTTGTCCTGCTGAATCCAGTTCTCTTAGCCAGCAGCAGAAATATAGAAAACAGGACAGAGACACCAAACTTGGGGAGTCTGGATTTGAACAGTAGGCTAGACAGCAGTCTCCTTGTGTATAATTGAAACAACTTGCAACCTTTATTAATTATTGGTCAGACCTTAACTGGTTTATTGTGTTCAATTAAGGGGAGACAGTGATGTAATGGTAAAATCACCAGACTAGTAATCCAAAGCCTTCAGGCTAATGTTCTGGAGGCTGTGGGTTCAAATCCAGCCATAGTAGCAACTTGAATCCTTTTTTTTGGAAAAAGCAATATCTAGAATACAGAGCTAGTCAAATGGTGACCAAATAACTACTGTTTTTATTATTAAAAACCCATCTGGTTCACTAATGGCTTTTAGAGAAGGAAATGTGCCATCCTGACTTAATCTGGCCTACATGTGACTCCAGACACACAGCAATGAAGTCGACTCTGAACTACCCTTTGAAATAGTACCAGTGAGCCACTCAAGGGACAAGGAACTAATGTTGCCAGTGACATCCACATCCCATGGAAGAATAATGGAGGAAAGTTCTGAAACCTACACAGTCCAAAACCACAAAGAGGGTTTCCTAGAAAGGCCCTGGTGATCAGGACTCCAATTATGGGGAGATAAATCAGGCTTATTGTCCTTGAAGAAGAAAAGGTGAAGGAGACGTTTATTCGAGCCGTTCAAAAGCTTTGATAATTGAGAGGGAGAATTTGTTTCCATTGGCAGGACAGTCGATAGCTGGAGTACAGAGATTTAAGATAAAACAGGCAAAAGAAGCAACAAAGAAATGAATGTTTCCTGTCACACAATGGATTGTCGGACTCAAAAGTGACACTGATCTAAAGCAGGAGATATTAAGAAAGCTTGCTATATGCTTGATCAAAGGGATGTTTTCTTAATAAAGGATTTGTATTTTTCACAGCACCTTTCATAACTCCACAATGATTCAAAACTTGTTAAGTAAGATAATGAGAATCTATATTTCTAACAATACAATGACATTTGTACTGCAGCACTGTACTATAGTGTGTAAGTAAAAGAACTTATTAGAATTCCTAAGTGTCAGACCACGGTCACTCTAGTTAAGACACAGATCTTCAGACAGCACATTGACACTGAAGACAGTGCAGTTCCCAGGACTCCAGAGTCTTGAATCTCATGGTAGCCAGCCCACAAGAGCTAATGGGGCAGGGGTTCAGCTAGACAGATTGACATAGAGTCAAAACTGTGCGGACAATATAACCATTGGTGGCAGCAGGACAAACCATTTGACAGCCAAGTTAGTACTTTTGAAGTGTAATTGTTCTTGTAATGTGGGGGACAGTGGACAAGGAGACGCAAAAAGACTTACAGTTTATACAGGTGAAGACACAGGTAACCAGGGTGCAGTGAAGAAAGGGTACGAGAGGTTAGAGTTGGAGAACCTCAATGTTGGAATGTTGCAGAAATGGGTGAGGCCGTGGACGGATTTGAAGATGAAGACATTGGATTTGGAGTTGTAGATATTCAGTGATTAGGAGCAAATGAAGATCCTTGCACATGGTGGTGAATGGGACATTGTGAGTTAAGAGGAAGGCAGTAGAGCCTGGGACAAGTAGGCAGTTGTAGAGAGCGGAAGATAGGAGGTTGGCCAAGAGAGAACCAGGACAGTCAAGGTATTATATCAGCCATGGACAAAGTGTCCTATAATTAAACCTGCCACCTCCATCTCTTGATTTCATCTTGATTTCCCAAAGATAAATTGGGCCCAGTCCTTACGATCTGTTAAGGAATTATGGATGGCACTGGAGAAAAAGTGCCAGGAAAACTAAAGACCTATACGATCCCTGGACCTGATGGGATACATCCTAGGATGTTAAAGGAAGTAGCTACAAAGATAGTGGATTCACTGATAGTAATCTTCCAGGTATTCTTAGATTCTGGAAAGACCCCAGAAGATGGGCAAAGCTGCCAATGTAATACCTTTATTTAGAAAAGAAAGGAGTCAAGAAACAGGTAACTATAAATCAGTGGGAGGCAATGACCTAGTAGTATTATTGCTGGACTATTAATCCAGAAAGCGAAATAATGTTCCAGGGGCCTGGGGTTTGAATCCCACCATGGCAGATGGTGGAATTTGGATTCAATATTAAAAAAACTGGAATTAATCCTTAGACTCTGGAATTAAGAGTTCAATGATGACCATGAATTCATCGCCAATTGTTGGGAAAAACCCATTTGATTCACTAATGCCCTTCAGGGTAGGAAAATGCCATCCTCCCCTGGTCTGGCCTACATGTGACTCCAGACCCACAGCAATGTGGTTGACTCTTAGCTGTCTTCTGGGCAATTAGGGATGGGCAATAAATGTGATGCCTTCATCCCGTGAATGAATGAATAAAGAAGTCAGTTAGCTTAACTTCTATTGTTGAGAAAAATGTTGGAGTTCATTATAAAGATGCAATAACAGAGCATTTAGAAAAACCTAATATGATCAAGCAGTTTCAATATGGCTTCATGAAGGAGAAATCATGCTTTGACAAATTTACTAGAATTCTTTGAGGAGGTTTCAAGCAGGATAGAAAAGGGGAAGCATGGATATAATATATTTGGATTTTCAGAAATCATTTGGTAAGGTACTACACATTAGGCTAATTAATAAGGTAAAAGCCAATGATGTTGGACGTAGTTATATTAACATGGGTAGAGAATTGTTGAACTAAAAGAAGACAGAGTTGAGATAAGGTGGTGCATTTTCAGAATGGCAACCAGTACTGGTCGTATGCCACAGGGATCAGGGCTGGGACCTTAATTATTTACAATATAATGTTGACTTTTATGAGGAAAGTGAATGTACTGTAGCCATGTTTGTTAATGATATGAAAATATTTGGGAAGGCCAGTGGTGAGGAACGTACAAAGAAAATGCAGAGGGATATAGACTTGTTCAGTGAATGGGCAAAAACTTGGCAGATGGAATATAATGTGGGGAAATGTAAGGCTATGCACTTTGGCAGGAAGACTAGCAGAACTGAATTTTATTTAAATGGAGAAGGCCGACGGAAAACTATGGAACAGAGGGATTTGGGAGTCCCTGTCCGCAAATTGCAAAAAGCTCACATCTAGGTTCACTGGGTAATAGGAAAGGGGATGTTGTACTTCATTTCAAAGGAAATGGAATATAAAAGTAGGGAGAATTTGGTAAAACTATAAAAGGCACTGGTCAGACAACAGCTGGAATATTGTGAACTGTTTTGGGCCCCATATCTAAGGAAAGGTATATAGGCATTGGAGGCATACAGAAGGTTTATTAGGCTGATACCAGGTATGGGAGGATTATCTTATGAGGAGAGGTTAGGTAGACTGGGCCTGTACTTATTGGAATATAGAAGAATGAAAGATATTGAAACATACAAGATTCTAAGGGGACTTAACAGGGTAGATGTCGAAAGTTTGTTTCCCCTCGTGGGAGAGTAGGACCAGAGGGAATCATCTCAGAATAAGGGATTGCACATTTAAGACAAAAGCAAGGAGGAATTTCTTGTCTCAGAAGGTTGTGCGGCTGTAGTCTCAATTAACTCAGTTGGCCACAGAGCTAGTTAATAATGTCAATGGCATGGGTTCAGTTCCCACATAGGCTGAAATTACCATGAAGGACTCTCCTTCCAAACCTCTCCCTTTGCCTGGTGACCCTCAGGTTAGCCCACCACCAATTGTCTCTCTCTCTCTTTAATGAAAGAGCAGCCCTATAAACTATGGCGACTTCTCCTTTGAATCTGTGCAATCGTTTACCATAGATGCTGGGTCATTAAGTATATTCAAGGTTGAGATGGATTTTTAATCAGAAAGGGAGTCAAGGGGAACGAGGAAAAGGCAGGAAAGTGGAGTTGAGAATAATCAGATCAGACACAATCTCATTGAATGGTGGAGCAGACTCAATGGGCTTAAAGGCCCACTTCTGCTTTTGCCAACTTAATCTCACTGGTGACAGAATGTTCGACTGCCAAAGAGGAGAGCTAAAAACACACGATGTCAAGGATCTGAAATGTCAAATGTTGACACTTACTATCCAGATTCAATCTGGTTGTCAAAGCAACCGTGATTATTTCACATAAATATTACACCGTCACTGGTAACAAATTTCCAAAGAGGGAATCTGAGGAATGCATTACCAGCCGGTCCTGTGAGTGCAGACGTTCTCTCGTCATGAGCTGGGCAGGCTCCTGACTGGGGCAGGGATGGCATCAAATGGTGGGTATGTGGATTGACAGATACTGTACACATGGTCACGTGAGCTACTGAGGGAGTGGGAGAGGAATTCTCCAGATTAAGCAAGGATTGTCACAAGGTCTCCTCGTGAAAGAAGCTGCACAACCTCAGCTTTTCGCCTTGTTAGCACACTGTAAGGTTTGCTCAGGATGACTGACATAAGACAGAATCATCTGACCAACGCTATGAATGATCTGTGAATGCTTGACACTGACAATGGGTGTGAATGTGAGGTAGTTTCCACAACTCAGCACTGACATTCCTCACCATACGATCACTCAGAACCTGTCAAATTGGAAAGAGTGAGAGGAGTATAAAGGGGCCAAAGATTACTTTTCAGCTAAAGAAGAAACACTTGCATTTATATTGCATTGTTTCTCAACTTCAGAGGCGGCGCTGTGAATTTACACACATCACAAGCGGAAAATAAGATTAATTACTAATTAATTGGTGAAGGCGTTTAGGAGCAGAGTAGACTATTTGATCCCCTCAAGCCTGCTCCACCATTCAGTAAAATCAACTGATTGTAGCCTCAATGGCACATTCCTGCTCACCCCCATTATCCTTTGACTTCCTTGTTAGTCATGTATCTATCTATCTTGAAAATAGCCAGTGACACTGCCTCTCTGGAGAAGGGAATTCCACGCACTCATGGTCCTCTGAGAGAGAAACCTTCTCTTCATGGCCATCTCAAATGGAAGGAACAGGAGGGAATGTCTACTCAGAATCCTGGAAAAGCTCCTGTTCACATTCAACAAGCGTCACAGGATCCATTACATCCACTCTTGCAATCAGACATGTCTCATCTGAAATGAGGCACCTTTGTCAATACAGGGCTTCTGCAGTGTGACACTAACACATCAGGCTAAGTAATGTGCACAAATTCCAGTGATGGGTATCCATTAGGCTCTCCATTCTGCCCACAGGTCCAAGATGACACTATTTATAACATTCTTACATTCTCCAGTTCTTATCCTCAGGGATGGCTATTTGATGGCTATCACAGACCATAATCACAGGAATCAAAATAAGAAAGACACGCATTTATATAGCACCTTTCCCAATCTGTGGACATCCCAAAGTGCTTTACAGCAAATGAGGTACTTTTGAAATACCGTTTCAAATGGAGAAAATGTAGTGCCAATTTGCGCACAGTGAACTCCCAACAGGCAGCACTGCCTAGTCGTGCTCCAATCTGCTATGTTTCTACGATGAGAAAGTCTGTTTCTTAGCTACATGGGATAACTATTGACCAGGGGTGGAGGTGGGGGTTGGGAAGTGGGGTGAATGCTGCTCCTTTAGAGTTACTGTCTTGTTCAAATGATGGTGGGTTTGAAATGTTTGAAATGTGATTATGGTCGGATGGACTGTTTGGACCGAAGGGTCTATTTCTGTGCTGTATGACTCTATGACTCTATGAATAATTGAATTGTCAGCAGGGGATGAAGACTTGGTGCAAAGGTGACAGGAAGCACAGACTTACTCATCCCCCAGCATCTGTTACTGTAAGCATGCCTGTGGATAGAATTTGGAACAAGTGGCTTGTAGTTTGCCCTACTGAGGGGGCAAAATTTGTGGCATAGTGACAATGTTACCAGCCTGGCTAAATTAGATGTCTATAATAATTGTCTGGAGACATCAGTTCGAATCCCATCACAGAATAAATCTGGAATATAATGACAGTCTCAGTGATGATAACCATGAATTTTATCACTGACTATTGTAATAACTCAGCTGGTTCACTAATGTCCTTTAGAACACAGAACTGTACAGCACAGGAACGATGTTGTGCCGAACATGACGCCAAATTAAACTAATCCCTTCTTCCTGCTCTTGGTCCATATCCCTCCGTTCCTTGCATACTCGTGTGCTTATCTAAAAGTCCCTTAAACGCCCCTATCATATTTGCCTCCACCACCACCCCTGGCAATGCGTTCCAGCCTCCTACCACTCTCTGTAAAAAAAACTTCCCCTTTGCATCCCCTTTGAACTTCCCCCTCTCACCTTAAATACATGCCCCCTAGTATTAGACATTTCAACTCTAGGAAAGTGATTCTGACTGTCAACCCTACCTATGCATCTCATAACTTAATAGACTTCTATCAAGTCTCACCTCAGCCTCTGCTGCTCCAGTGAAAACAACCTGTGTTTTTGTAGCCTCTCCATATAGCTCAAGGCTTATAGTTTCTTTTTGGAAGGAAATCTGCTACCCTTACCTGGTCTGTCCTGCATGTGACTCCAAACCCACAGCAATATGGTTAACTCTAAAGTACCCTCGACAAACACCTAACAAGCCACTCAGTTCAAGGGCAGTTAGGGACAGACAAAAACTGCAGGCCTTGCCTGTGATGCTCACGTGCTATGAAACAATCATTTTTAAAACAGCCGACCAATATTTAAAAGCAAAACACTGCAGATGCTGGAAATCTGAAACAAACCCAATAGGTCTGGCAGCATCCGCGGAGAGAGAAACAGAGTTAACGTTTCGAGTTCGGTATGACTCTTCTTCAGATCTCAATACCACTACCAAATCAAGCAGCAACATTTGCCGTTTAGGCTCAGGGTAAGTGATTGGTATCTCAGACAAGTTATCACAGGAGATTATTCCCTAGGAGTCAACACATTCTGGGAAGAAAGGAAAGGGAAATGTTTGAAAAAAAAGTTGAATATTGAATGCAAGTCAAAAGAATATTGTGCAAGTCCAATATAAAGCAGTTCAATTTATCACAGATATAATTACCAATATTTTCTAATTGACAACATTATTACTTGACTTGAATCCAGACCTCCTGACTCAGAGGTAGGGGCACTACTATGACACTGCACAAGCCCTGCGGATTTAATTATGGTGCAAGAATCTATGTTTCCTGTCTTCCTTGTCCGTTTTAACCCCACCCGATACCTAGTATCCCTACAGTGTGGAAGCAGGCCATTTGGCCCATCAAGTCCACACTAACCCTCCAAAGAGCATCCTATCCAGTCCCACTTCCCCCCTACCCACCCACCCACCCTCCCTACAACCCTGTATTTCCCTTGGCTAATCCATCTAGCCTGCACATCCCTGGACACTATGGGCAATTTAGCATGGCCAATCCACCTAACCTGCACATCTTTGGATTGTGGGAGGAAGCTGGGGCACCTGGAAGTACCCCACACAGACACAGGGATAATGTGCGAACTCCACACACACAGTCACCCAAGGCTGGAATTGAACCCAGGTCTTGGCACTGTGAGGCAGTGGTGCTAGCCGCAGAGCCACAGTGCCAGCCCTTCTTGCAGTATAACAAATGTATAGTACTTGTGAGCAACATCATCTAATAACATGGCCAAGATTCTGAATCCCAGTGGGGTTTAGAATGTTTTTGTTCCCCTTTCAGTGTGATGCACATCACATCCTATTAATCCCGATTCCATTTCTTACCTGGTGTTGCCATGTCCCAGTGCTCCTTGTGACCCCTGTTAATCCTCCTACAAAAGACAGAAAGATCAGTTCAGGTGGTGGCATGGTCTCACATGGCATCACTAGCATTTTATCACACTGCGGCGGTAAAATCAGTCACAGCTATAATCAGTGATGCTCGGGGTAACACTTCGTTGAGAGTCTACAGCAAAAATGGAATCTACCGAGGGCATACAACAACAACTTGCATACATGTTACATCTTTAGAATAGTAGAACTTCTTAAGAGCCGGGCAAATTTTGACACCAAACCACTTTGGGAAATTTTAGAATGGGTTACCAGATCTTGGTTTAAGATATAGGTTTTGAAGTGACTTAAAGAAGAAGGAAAAAAATTGGGGAGGAAATTTAGGGTCTCCAGGCAGCTGAAGGAATGGATGCCAATGATGGAGCAATAGAAATTGGAAGATGCTCAAGAGTTGGAGGAATTGGAGGAGATCAACAGTCTTGTAGGGTTGGAGGAGACTGTGGAGGTAGGGAGAGGTGAGACCCATGGAGCAGCACATCTCTGCTAAATTCTGAAATTGGGCTGATTGGCCAGTGTGTGGTTCAGAATAGCATCAACTGTGCTGGTTCAATTCCTATTCTAGCCAAGCATGACTTACCATCTGACTCTGATTATTGAAAACAACAGCAAACAATCACTGAGAAGTTACTACCAAGATACCAGCTCAGGGTGAAGCTTTAAGAGTTTAGGTAAAGAGCCAAGGGCCTGCCTCAAGTGACGTTTATCAGGAGTCAGACCAATTAGAAGCAGGAAAGCCCCAGCTGGTTTATTTCCCCGTCTTCTTACCAGATAAGAGAAAGAAAGTCTTGCATTTATATAGCACCTCTCACAGCCTCAGGACGTCCCAAACCTCTTGGTGGTTAACAAATTACTTTGTCACAAAGAAGACATGACAGACAATTTACACACATCAAAAGGTGCCACAAATAGCAAAGCGACAATAATGAGATAATATGCTTTTGTTATATTGGGTGAGGGTTAAACATGAGCCAGGACACAAAAATAAACAGCCTTCTCTAATTTCTTTGTTGAGAGGAAAGTTTCCATTTGAAAGGTAACAACAGCTCTGCACTTGCTCAGAATGGTGGTGAGTTGTCAGTCTACATTTCTATGCTCAAGTCTCTGGAACAGGATTTGCGAGTATGATCCCCTGACCCAGAAACAAGAGTGTTAAGAACTGAGTTACAGCTGTCAACTAAATTTGGACAAATTGAGAGTTAAACCAGAGATTCTGGTTTAGAGTCATACAGCCATGGAGCTTTACCGCGTGGAAACAGAGCCTTTGGTCCAACTTGTCTATGCTGACCAGACACCCTAAATTAATCTATTCCCATTTGTCCATATCCTTCTAAATCTTTCCTATTCATGTACCCATCCAGATGCCTTTTAAATGCTGTAATTGTACCAGCCTCCAACACTTCCTCTGGCAGCTCATTCCATACATGCACCACCCTATGTGTGAAAATGTTGCCCCTTATATCCCTATTAAATCTTTCCCCTCTCACCTTAAACTTACAACCGCTAGTTTTGGACTCCCCTACCTTGTGGAAAAGACCTTGACTATTCACCCTGTTCATGATCCTCATGATTTTATAAACTTCTATAAGGTCATCCCTCAGCCTCTGATGTTCCAGCCTATTCAGCCTCTCCCTATACTCAAACCCTCCAACACAGGCAACATCCTTGAAAATCTTTTGTGAACCCTTTCAGTTTTGTGGAGGCTTTTCGCCCTTGAGGTTCCATGTTGCAGTCAACGGCTTTCTCATTCAGTTATGGCTCAGTGTTGGTGCCTCTGACTCAGAAGGTTGTGCGTCTAAAGTCCCACTCCTGGACTTTAGCATGAAAATCTTGCTTGGTACTTCCAACACAGTACTGCAGAAATACTGCTCTGTCAGAGATGCCACCCTATGGATTGAATATTAAACCAAGGCTCTGCATTTCCTCTGAGGGGGAAAATAAAAGTTCCTATCATGCAATTTCAAAGATAAACGGGATAAATCTGTTACCGATATTTTTCCATCAGTAAATAAAATAAAAAACTAATAAAATAAAATAAAACCAAATCATTTTCTCATCGCACGCACTAACTAGTCATACATTGGCATATCTCAATGAAAACAACATTGATATAAAGGTGATTTCCATTGCCTTTTAATGGGAGTTTGTTGTGTGCAAATTGACTGCCACATTTCCTACATTACAACAGCGTGTGCACTCAAAATTGGCTGTAAAATGCATTTTATAAATGCAAGATTATTTTTTTTCGATGTGAACCGGCTGTCAGAAAGAGGGTACACACCTCACAAGCATCATTTGTCACACTGAGATGAGGTTGCTCCTTTCACAGCAATAGAAATCAACACACAGCCACCTTTACATAAGTTGAACCTTCTGAAGACTGGCCAAACCCAAAACGAAATATTCCATACTTACTTCCAATGCAGTCCACAGTTGGTTATTGCTCCTCTACAGATACTTTGACATCTGCCCAATTTATATTCAGTCCTTGGTCGGTCACTGCCGGCGGGGAGTGTGCTGGGTGTGAAATCTGTTCCGATTCCCCTGAGGCAATTATAATGAAAGAATCTGTCGATTTTGGAACAGTGACTGTGTGTAGCAAAGGGTTTTGTTTTCCTTCACTCACAGGATGCGAGTGTCACAGGCTGGGCTAGTTCTTGTTGCCCATCCCTAATTGCCCGTGAGTAGGGGGTGAAGTGCTCAAAATAACAAGCATATGGGCTCTTCAGTGCAGGGCAACTCAACACCGAGCTCTGTAAACAACACTTGAACAATATCGTTTGACTGACTTTTGCTAGATCAAAGTCACATGCTCAGTCTGGGTGGACTGAAAATCTTCGTTGATGTCTCTTCTACTTCCTTGTTCCTGCATTTTCTGGCTTGGCTGATGGCCCAGTGTGATCAAATCTCTCAAATTTCTTTCCTTATCTGTGATCTCTATTTTGACGAATGAGCAGGGAGGCTACGGCCGAATTTGCGAAATTTTAAGACAAAAGGACGCGGAGTGGCAGAATGTGAACAGAACTTTCCCATCGAAGACTTTTACCCGAGGCAGTAGTGATTTGGAAACCACCTTTTACAACAGCTACATGGTCCTTTCATCACGACATGCCCATGTATAACTAGTCGGTACATGTAACAACACCCTATGTTCAACAGGTTTGCATAAAAACCGCAGTTGCACAAAATTATTTCACTTCTCAAAGTTAGCATGTAAGATTTCTAAGCACCAGGCCAAGGCCAATTTGCCCCAAAATATACAGTCCTTCCGTATTTTTCTGATTCAATTACCAATAATTTCTACTCTCTTAGAAATGTTTCTAACATCACATTGTTCGTCTTCACTTAAATAATTTTCCCTGGTAACTTATTCTACAATTATAGATGCAACAAATGGAAAATGCTGGAAGTTAATCGCTACTTGTGTTATTCCATTCACACGCAATAAAATATTCCACACTACACATAATACCCTCCCCACCTAGACGCATTGCTCCCCTACCTGACACAATACACCCGTCCACACTTTACACAATATCTCACATCCCACTCGCAATGACTCACACCCAATACCTCACATAATAGTAATGTTACTACAGCAATAATTCAGAGGTTAATATTCAGGGACCATGGGTTCAAATCCCACCAGCACCTGCTGAAATTCAAATTCAATTAACAGAGCAAAACAAAATCTGGAATCAAATGCCAATCAAGTCATGGTGACTATTACATCTATTGCCAACTGTTGTTTGACCCATGTGTCTCACTAATGTCGTTAGGGAGGGAAATCTGCCATCTTTACCTGGTCTGGTGTACAAGTGACTCCAAACTCACATCAAATGAGAACCGAAAGAACTGCAGATGCTGTAAATCCGAGACAAAAACAGAAATTGCTGGAAAAGCTCAGCAGGTCTGGCAGCATCTGTGGAGAGAAAATCGGAGTTAACGTTTCGGGTCGAGTGACCCTTCCTCAGCAAATGAAGTTGACTCATAACTACCCTCTGAAATGGCCGAGTGAGCACTCAGTTCAAGAGTAGTCAGGCCTGGAGAATGAATGCTGGCCTGACCAGTGATGCCCACATCCCACAAAAGAATGAAAACAAAACCTGTATGCCTTTTCTTCACGGTTTGCTAAATGCATTTGGTGATTTTGTTTTTTTACTTGTTTACCTCAATGCTGTTTTTGAGACCTTGCAATGTGCAGACGGACTGCAGTGTTTTGTACAATAACAACTGCAAAACTAATGCATTGGGATGCCTTGAATTCACGCAAGGTACTTTGTCAATACAAGTCTTCTGTTTTCTGATATGGTTCACTTTGGCCAGGCTTCCAGGGACGTGGCTGAACATCTTCCCTGCCGGCTCAATAGCAGCTTTTCTTTATACTATGTTAAAGGTGTTATATAGATGCAAATTGTTGTTGTGTTTAGCGTATATAATGCAGGGCCGTCAGCTACTCTGTATTTTGATAAGCCATTAAAGGGCATTTTTAATCTGATTTTGGTGAGTCGGAATAGATAGTTTTGCTGTTGAATCTGTTTTGCCTTGTCTGTTCATTAGTGATTTTACCAAAACTAGACTCAATGAACGAACAAGAGCAGCCAAGTGCCCAGACAGGATTGAAAAGAGCAAGATTGGAACCAATGTTGATCATCGGATTGGATGGGTCATTGTAGTTCATGATCACATAGTCTGTGTAGTGCAGTGGTAGGAGTTGGTCTGTGTTGATGTACAGAGTCTCATGATGTTACACAGAGACCCTGAGTGTAAACCTGAAGGACCTTCCACTGGCAAACCCTTGTATTTTCCCTTCCCCAGCATTATCAATGGAAAAGCCAATCTTAGACAATGGTACATTTCCTGGACATCCAGTTACTGTTTCAGAGATAGTAGGAACTGCAGATGCTGAAGAATCTGAGATAACAAGGTGTAGAGCTGGATGAACACAGCAGGCCAAGCAGCATCAGAGGAGCAGGAAAGCTGACGTTTCAGGCCTAGGCTGTGTTCATTCAGCTCTACACCTTGTTATCTCATCCAGTTACTGTGTTGGGAAACTGCGTAAATGTAACTGAGCTCCTCTGATATAAAAGTCCAATCATGTTTTGTTTGAAGTTAAGCAGAAACAACAATGAAAAGGAAGGAAATAGACCTTGCATTTATGTAGTGCCCTTGGATGTCCTTAAGTGGTACACAGCCAGTTGTTCCTTTTGAATTCTAGTAACGCAGGAAACAAAGCAGCCAACTTGCACACAAGAATCTAATGTTAGACATTATGTTCTGACTTTCGCATATGCCTTGCATGTTTCTGATAAGCAGATAATATGTTTGTAATATTTGAATCTACAGTCACATGTAACAATCTCCTTACACAAATTAGTGAACTCTATCCAAAAGTGTGCAGGTTAGGTGAATTCAGCAGGCCAAGCAGCATCATAGGAGCAGAGAGGCTGACGTTTCGGGCCTAGACCCTTCACCAGAAAAGGGGGAGTGGAAGGGGGTTCTGAAATAAATAGGGAGAGAGTGGGAGGCGGATAGAAGAGGGATAGAGGAGAGGATAGGTGGAGAGGAAACAAACAGGTCGAAGAGGCGGGGATGGAGCCAGTAAAGGTGAGTGTAGGTAGGGAGTTAGGAAGGGG